TTTGCCCCACTGTATACTGCATGCATCATTTAGGTAGTTAACATTGTATTACTTCTTGAGCTCCTTGAGGTATTTACTGTAACAGGCAGGAGCTTCGGCTGGAGAGTAGAAGTTGGGGCATGTGATTTAAGGAGGGCCGGCCCTCGCACGCTGAAATTAGGACCGGCCCACCGTGCAAACGCCCGGTATCACAGATTACTAGTCCGAGTCTGGCTCCTACTATCCTCCTTTCTAAGGAAGGAAGGGATGGTAAGACTTGTGAAGGTTGGAGGTTTCTAAATACTTAAAAGAGTGTCATGATAGTGAATAAACTGTTCAGGGTGTTTGCAAGATACAGAAGGTCACGCTTCGATGGTAATGGTGTTTTTCCTCAACTGTAAGTCATTTTGCTCTGTGGAAGGTTTGCTTTGTGTTTATATTGCTTAATTCTTGCTCCAACTTCTTTTAATTGGATTTTAGCTCTGATAATATCATTGTTTATTTTCTTTTGGAGTATTTTATTTTCATCTCAGATTTATTTGTCATACAAAAGTAGTGCAATTAAAAGTGATAGGAAAGATGTGAGTACAATAGCTACAGCGCCATCTGTTAGCAAGAGCTGGTTACACTATATGTGCTGGGATTAGGTCTATTGGGAAGATTCCAGCCTTTTTTATTCTCCATCCTACACCACTGGGGCAACAGGAGCATTGGATGCAGGGTAACACTTCACCTGATGGTAATCAAAGGGCTTTTACAATCTTTAATTCTAAAAATAACATTTCACTGTTTTTAAACTCCTCAGCGTTCAGTAGCTGAAGAAAAACACAGGAAAATAAAATCTGCCTTCCTGTTCCAGGATCCTTCCTGTTGGCTCATTCCCAGCTGGGCCCGCGGTCCGGCTATGTTAGCCGTGTGATCAGTCCAACTCTACCAGGGAACACCAAGTTCTGCCTTAGGTTTTACTTCTTACTGAAAGGTGGTCCAACTCTTCATCAGGAAATATCTCAGATAATGGTCTCTGTTTCTCATATTTGTATAAATCTTTGGAGGAGACTGAGTGTCATAAATAACTCTGACAGGTTTCAACCAGACGGAGCAGGCATTGGCGGTTTATCTGCTGCAGCAGGGAGGCAAGCAGGAGAAGATCTGGACTCAGGCAGAGAAGTCAAGGGGAATCTGGATTTTAGCGGATGTAACCTTCCAGACGTCACAGCCTGCTAAGGTCAGAAGGGGACAATAACTGTTTAGAGACTCAGGTGGGGAAAAAAAGACAAAATGATGGAGGGAGAAGGAAAAAAAGACAGAAAAATAATTGCCCTGGTACTTAGGAAGAGGAGGGGTGTGACTTATGACTTATATGTTTTAGAAAACAACATATTGTAGAAAGTAAGGAGAGGGAAACACATAATAATGGGAGAAATTAACATGTAGTAAAGAAAAAGGGTGAGAACATTCAAATAATGCTAAACTTTTGATCAAAAGTATATAGAAAAAGATTTAAAAACTCCATCCATCCATCCATCCTTGCATCCATCATCCATCCATCCAGTAATCCTTATCTTAATTCATTTATCCTCATCAAGTATTATTATTTTAGTATTTTCACACTTACAAAAAAGGGCTGCATCTAGAAACTACCGGTATGTTGCTAATCGATTCATCTGTTGAATCTTTAATCAATTAGTAATCGGTTGGTAGAAGGTTCCTTAAATATTTTACACAGAATTTAAACCAGGTTAAGCTACAACTGTGCCCTTAGAATAATCCTGCTCTATCCAGTGAATTAATGTGCTCTGGATAGACTATATTAATGGACAAAAAATATATTACATCTTGAATGCAAAATGTTTACTTATAATTTCTTTTTTTTTTTTCTACAATTGAACTGCTCTGGGTTTAAAACAAAAGAAGATGCTGCTCACTTCCTGTTTCTCTTCAGATGGCCTTTGTCACCACCTGCAGGAGTTTCTGGGACTGCGGCTCTGTGGCTCTGGACGACATCAGTCTGAACCTCGGCGACTGTGAGCTGACGGCAGGTAACAGTTTACGGCTATAATATTAGGACTATTGAATATATTTTCAGCAGGATTAAATAAATGCATCACTTATTTATCACTCATATATTGTACCAATAATAAAATGCAAAACAATGAAAATACATACCATATTCCCAAAGAATCAACCCCAAATATAATGAAAAACATTTAGGTCCTAACACTGAGCCTTGAGGTACTCCACACTTAAAGTTGTAGGGAAGTCATATTTAAATGTCAAATCATTTTGGCTTAAACAT